GGTTTTAGCGTTAGGACTAGGTTTAAGGAGATGAAACACATTTGAGAGACCTCAGTGGTACAGAAGTTCTGAATTGAAGCACATCCTTTTCTGTACTCTGCCCCTCCCTTTTCTCTTCCATTCATTAGTGATTGGTGGTTTTGACTGGTAAGTTACCCACGCTTGATCTCAGGGGGCCATTCTTCCTCCCTCCATTGCTGCCAATCCCTCAACTCTCACATGCATTCATTCACAAACCCCTTTTGAGTACACCTGGTCTCTGTCTCCGCATTAGTATTTGATTATTACTAATTACTGATCACTCTAGAACCCTCTTCACTGCCCTCCTCAATTCCACCATCACTCCTTCCAAGTCAGGTCTAACTAACCAGATGACCACTTTCTTACTCAGTCTTTCGGTTGCTTGTTATTTTACATGTCACCCCAACTTCTCACAAAAGCATACAAGACTGCTCCCCAAACATCCCACAGACTCCTGGCATCTATGGGAAGAATGCACATCCTCCACACCTAGAATTCTTTGTTCATGGCTCCTGAAGAGTCACATTTATCCTTCCAGTTTGAACTCAGACCCTCTTCGGTTGGGACCCTTCCTTTATCCAGGACTGGCTTAGCTGCCCCTCCTCCGTGTTCCTGTAACACCTTTGCTTACAAGATCATAGCGTAATTTTATTTCACATCTGTCTTCCCCAACAGCCTATGATCGTCTTGAAGAAGGGTTGCATCTTACTTGTCTTTTCATGATCTTATTCAAGAAGAACTGGAAACTGGGTGGCGTTGGTGCTCGCCTTTAATCCCAGCGCTTGGGAGGTGAGGCAGGCAGATCTCTGAGTTTGAGGCCAGTCAGGTCTACAGAGGGAGTTCCACGACAGCCAGGGCTACACAGAGAAACCCTATCTCAAAAAAGCTAAACCAAACCAAACCAAAACAATGAACCCATGCATTAAAGAATAAAAAATCAAAAAGAACTGGAGAGATGGGAGGTTGGAGGGACAAAGGATTGATGATGATGATGATGATGATATGATGATGATGATGAATCAGTAGTTGGATAAATGGATAGTTGAATGGACAGATAGACGGATGGGTATGTGGCTGACTAAAATGGATCAGTTCAACGGTGGTCAAAACTTCTGATCATATGTTACATGCCCAGCTAAATGCAAGAAGGTCTTCAACAACCACACAAAGACAAGACTGTGGTTCTTGAAGATTCACAGTTGACGTTGGAAAAACTATGACTGCAACTCGGCAACCAGCGGGCTTTTGACCTTGATCCATGGGAAAGTTCAGAGGTGCTTCTGGCCATAGAAGAAAAGGAGACACGTGCATGTACCCTATGCCAGCTTGACCTGGCAGCCTCCTGCTGATTCCTGCATCAGCGCTGGCCTCATCCAGGTCCATTCAGCTCCATGTTCAGCCCATAGTTCATTTTAGCTCGAACTGTGGCTAGAGATTGGCACCTCTGGTTCCAGAGTCACATCGAAGCAGGTGGCACCAAGGCACCAAGGCCAACGGCCACCATCTGCAAGTTTCTTGAAAACAGCTTGTTTCTCTCCCTTTGGTACTCAAGAACTCTGACAAGTGGCCCCCTTGATTGAAGTTTCACTTCCTTTCAAACCAAATTAGTGCTCCTTCAAAGAGCTTTTAGAGGAAGACCTTTGGCCAGTTGTTTCACCAAGGAAAAGGGAATATGTCTTGGAGTGACCTGGAAATAAAATATTACGCTCCTGATATGAAGAACTGGCATGTGACCCAACCAAGTGGCAATGGAAAGGCCCTGGGGCTGCTGGGATCAGAGCCCAGCCTGGCTGCCAAGAACCCTCATTCAGGGGTTGAGAAGCAGCCGGTGAAGCACAATTGGCTAAATTTGGTTGTGTTTTTATTTTTGTCCAGCCGTAAATACCAGCAAAGGACTGAAAACTATCCCTTCCCTTCTGGGAGCCTCCAAGCCAAGCTGGCTTTATTTTTAGTGTGCTAAAAGCCCTGGACTAGAGGACTTCTGCTCACCACCAGAAGAGGCCGTGGGCTGGACTTTAGGGGTTTTGCCTAGACCTGAGTGTTGGGTGTCTGCATGGAATTCTTACCAGACTTTATGCAGCTGTGACGACAAGGGTGGTTCCAGACAGACCCAGAGAGACCCAGTTCTTGCCTGAAGGGCCACCAAGAGAGTCCTTTTCAGGAAGGGCAGTGTGCTCAGAGCGGGTCAGTGTCTGCTTAGGGTGGAGGAAGTGGCAATCCTAGATGAAAAGAAACAGGAAAAAAAAGTGAAGAAAGGGAACGGGCCAAGGCACTTTTGTTCTGTGATGGCTTTGAGCGCTCTGGTTCAGGACCTGAAGCCAGCTGACTATGTCCAGATCCTGCTACAGCACCCCTGAGAGATGCTGAGGCCTCTGCCTGGCCTGGATCACTGGCTTTGAATCCATTATGTAAGAGACAGGGACAATAACATCCCAGGCCTTAAGCTCTGCTCTGAGATTCTGCCAGGGCAGCATGAAGCACAGCACTTGGTATGCAGGGCAGCGGGTGGGATCAGCCATCATTATCACCAGTGTCACCAAGGCCATCATGTGACATCCAACCCTTCCATATGCAGCAGGCCAGTTCTCCCTGGAACCCAGAGTTCTTTTTGCAGTTGGAAAACCGAGGGGCAGAGGATTTGGTAAGGTGCCCTCAGATCTACAGTGAGAGTGTAATCAGTCAAACCCGAACCCAGCGCTGGTTAGCCCCTGTCGTAACACTGAGCCTTCTGTGGGACCAGTGACTTCTGCAGGCTAGGAAGGGACTTGTCACTGACCACATAAGAATTACTCTAAGCAGGGGACTGGTTTTTCACTGCCTTGGGCTCCCCAGTTTCATAACAGGAGCATGCAAAGAGGATACCAGAAGTGATTTTTTTATAAGCTGGCTGCAGAAAGCAAACTCCTGGAGACCGCAGAATGGTGTATATCCGAGCCTGTTAAAAGGGAAAATGGGGAGTTCTTTAATGGATAGACTTAGTTGTGTGTGACGAACATGTCCTGGAGATTAGTTGTATAACCAGGAGAATACAGTCCATACTACTGGTGCTCCATGTCTCTGAACTGTGTGCATAGGAACCGAGAAGACAGCGAATTTCATGTTGTATGCTTTTAGCATTGTTTTTAAACAATTAGAAAAAAAAGATCCCGTGTTGGAGTCAGACCATTGTAGAGGTGGGCCACAAATTGGAGAGCTTCTTGTCCAACTTCCCAGTCCTTTTGCTCCCTGTTCGCTCTGAGCTGAAGCCTCCTTAGCAGCATCCCCAGTCCCACCCCACATGACACAGACTCTGTCAGGGCCAAGGTGGGTGCTCTTTGAAAGGTGCTTATTAGGCGACATCATAAATACTTCTCATGCTTAGCCCTTTCCGACCTCCTTCGAATCCCTGGTTCCACTGAAGCATTTGTCTAAAGGATGTCTAAAGGATTTGTCTAAAGGATGAGAGAAAGAACTCGTAGGCAAGTCTTCCTTACCGAGTCGTGTTTTCTTGGAGTACATGCAGGGGCAAGATCAGACTTGGGCTTCGCTTTGAGAAGTTGGGTGCAAACCCTGCTTTTCTCCTCCGTTTGCCTAGCTCTGACGTGGGGGTAACAGTTGTTTCCTGTAACTGCTTTTCACATCCATGAGAGGATGCAATGCAGACCAGCGTGGAGCTAGCTGGGAGCAGGGCCCCCTGTGGCTGGATTACCTCCAGAAAGCAGCCCTCCTCAGCATCACAACAGGGAAGGGCCTGGGGTCCCTTGGGAACCTCTGTGGTAAATTCTGTGAACATTTAGTTTCAGTGGTGCTCAGGAGACACTTGGACTGTTGTCTGTGTGCATTCGTTTTGAGCCACTGTGACCACAATACCTGACATAGATAAGGAAGGAGAGTTTTTTTTTTTTTTAATTTGGTTCTTTCTTTCGATTCCTCATGGCAGGAAAGGCATGGAGGAGAGAAGCTCACTTGGTGGGAGAAGGAATGTACAATGAAGGCTGTTTGTGCCATGGTGGACCAGAAACTAGAGAGAATATTGGAGCCTCCAAAGGCCCTTTCCTATATGATTTATTTCTGCCAGCCACACCCCACCCTCTAAAGGTTCTACAGAATCCCCAACTAGCCCTGACACCCAGAGAACCAAACAAGAGCCTGTCCGGGCCATCGCAGGTTCAGATCATAACAGCTCTCTTGGCAGTTGCCCACATAGCCATCCATCTCTGTAGGACTGAGTTTAACTGCGAGCCATACTTTGTGCTCAGAGTTTGGGCCCCTGTTTGGGGTCAGTCTATCTATTAGCTGAAGCGAGGGAAACTCACCACACTGTCACATCCCATAAATACATCTTAATTGCTTTTAGCTTAGAAGAAAATTTAGGTTGGAATAAATGCTTTCTAATAGATGTATAGCATACTTATTTTTATACTTGCACAGATAGAATATATAAAAATTTCTTATGGACAAAGCAGCCCAGAAAAGGCCAAAGGGCCAAAGATCCGTGAATGTCATGATGCAGCCCTGCTGTGCCCCCATGTCAGAGGCTGGTTTTGGGTCCCTCAACCCATACTGATCTGACTTGCCCTCTTTTCTGTTCCTATGGCAACTGCCATCTGCTCCCATCCCCACCATTATTTAAGACTTGGTACATTTTCTCTGATATTTAATTTATGCTGTGAAAAGCTCAAAAGTGTTGTCTGGAGTCCACAGGAAAGAAGGTTGTCACTAGTGAGTGATGTCTGTCCTAGACTTTGACAGAGGAGGGGAGGCACAGTCAACGTGCTCGGTTTGCACCTATGACTGATACGGATTTCTATTTCCAGCCTGACTACAGACTCTGTTATAATGGTATATGTGCTTTACATGTGTTGAGCATACCATGCTGAAAGATCTAGAAAGTCTCTTAATTCCTGGTGATTGATTGATTGATCAAAGCAACATCTGTGTATATACTCTCTATACTCGATATCCCTTTGACATCTTTCCATTCATCTTTTCTTCACCAGACGTCTGAACAAGAACAAGCTCCAGGTCCTTCCAGAATTGCTTTTCCAGAGCACACCAAAGCTCACCAGACTGTGAGTAGCATTCATGTGTATTCTCTACCTTGTATCTCACCTGGCTTTGGTCTCATGGACACTGTGGTTGTTGTGGTATATGGCACCCGTGCCATATGGAGCTTCAGAGCAAAGTCTGCCTTCTACCTCCTTCTATCAGAGCTGGGTGGCTTTATTGACCAGTGAAGAGTAGCAATGTGTGGTGATGGATTTTTTTCTTTCCCTTGCAAAGAGGGAGGAAGGTCTTCCAATGGGACTGAATTTCCTGCATGGAATTTCCCCAAGAGGGGTTGGGGTGACTATTCATCAGAAGCTGCCTATGTGCGTTCTTAATATCAGTCTGGACTAAGCTCACTACCTTGCTGGTTGGAACAGTCCCTGCCCATTGTTCACTTCTTGCCATTGACAGTCCAGGAACTCTGGGTCTGCAGGTCTATGGTTTGATGGAAAAATAAAGAAAATTTGATTTTCACATTATTTTCCAGATTGATTTGGGTGCATATATTCCTTGTGACAGCCTAGAAGCTTGGGAGTTTGAGGTACAGACTGTGGTGGAGACTGTGACTTATGGATTATGGGTGTTCTCTGCAAGTACTAGTTATTGACAGTGAACTTGAAATCCTGCTGGCAGTGGATGACGGGTGAGCTATGCTGCCCACAGGCGCTCTGAATGGAACAGCACAGTGTCTGACAAGCAGAGTCATAGCCTGACTGAGAAGACACTAGCATTACTGGGGCGGCTCCCATGTTATGGCCACCAATCTCCTTCCCCATGGCTGGGTTTAATGCCTACTTATGCAATCAAACCGTGCATGTAGACTGGAATAAACTGGAAAATAGGAAACACATGTCACTGTGTGCACTTAAACCCTGAATTAGGAATACATACTTATGTATGTGCTTGTGTGTATAAACACACATACACATACACACCATGCATATAAATACATTTTCAAAGAGCAAGAAGAACGGGCCTGGGCAGGCTGGCGTTCAGTGGGTCAGTGGTCCTGTTGGATTTCTGCAGGACACACATGTGCTTGTCGCTGGTCTCTTCTTTCTGTGCCTGCCATGTCTTTGGTTCTCTTGTTCACCTAGTTAGCTGACTTTGCTAAAAGGAAGGAAGGAAATGCCCTCCCTTTCCATTCCTCCAATCTCCATCCACCTGGATGGGCACATGGCCAGAGGAAATGCACAGCCTGGTTGCCTAACTCAACAAGCGGTGGATCCGCCACAAACCACCCTGATTTTAACACCCCCCCCCCCCCCCCGCCTTACCTGTGCAGGCACCACTCGGTATCCTTGTAGCATTGATTCCTAGACTCTGGTGGGTAACTAAATCCTCAGCTGCCCGAGTCACTTACATAAAATTGAGAGATATTTGTATTTAAATAACCATGCAGCCTTCCCCTCTCCCTTAAGTCATTTCATAGACTTGTCATTCTTTACGGAATGGAAATGCTATATAAATAGTTGATGTATGTGTTAGAAATGCTGACCAAGAAGGTTTGTGCATGCTCGGTGGAGGTAGTTTTCTCTCTAGAATTTCCAAGCTTGATAGTTTTCCCCACAAAGGAGGAACTAGACGAGACTCACTCAGTGTGCCCTGAGTAGCCATGTGTCCCTCAAGGACTTCATTGCCACTTACCACCCGAGCAGCTGCCGATCTCCTGGAATCTCAGCCTCAGTTTTTGGGTGGACAAAGGCTCTGGGGGCCGCATCTGCCGGTGGCTTTGAGGGAGTGGAATCGGGATCTGAGGACTCAATAGCTTTAGGTGTCTGCTGGGTTGTTTTCCTCTTCGCAGGCGTCTCCCCGAAACCACCAGGCAATGCCCGTGTTGTGCCAAGAGTCCTGAGCCAGACAGAGACGGTTCCGGTGTTGTTAACCAGTGTCTGGGGTGCTGGCTGCGGTGCTGGCTGCGAGGCCCGGAGCTGGAGCGCATTGGTTATGTTCTAATGGCTCTTTTCTAATGTAGAGTTTGGAGAGCCCCTTTCCCTTCTGTGCCTAACGGTCTTCATCAGTAAACGGAGCAGCCTCTCCTCCCTTCTCCTAGCCTCTCAGGGCAGCTGCGAGCACCCAGTGAGATAATGGTGTAAACTGTCTGCTTCCTAGGGTTGAGAGAGCTGGGAAAGTTGAAGGCCAGAATACCTATAGTTGCCTCTCCCGCGTTTGTCCTTACCACCTCAGCTTCAGGCGTGGGGTGGGGAGATTTGAAGTTGCAGTGAGCATTGAGATAAATTATACCAAGCTTCTGCCTCCAGCCAGAGAGCTGCAGCTGTGAAGGCAGAAACAGTGTTCAACTCATTTGGTGATCATCCTTCTGGGATTCTTTGGCTAGGCACAAAGACTGGCACAACTAGGCACTCAGACAATGATGGCTGACTGAGTAGGTAGATACATGAATGATATGGGCCCAAGGATACAAAAAGTGTTCTCTGAGAAGTGTGACTCTTTTATCTACCGTTCATTCATTCATTCATTCATTCATTCATTCTGCTTCCTTTGGTTATAGCCTAGCCCTTTGCTCTGAGGACGGGAGCAGAAGATGTGAAGGATACTTAGCTCCTTCTGTGCCCAATCCTGACACATTCTGACTGACTGCCAAAGGCTGAGAGCTAAATATATAAATATGTTTTAAATCGAAGCAACTATATTAACCCAGGTTGGAGCGATAATCAGCTGCTGCTTTTGCTCTTTGGGCTTGATCTTTGATTTTTCTTAATGGCCCCATTATGTCTTTGTCTTATTTTGTCAGCCACTCCAGGGCCTTTTTGGAAGGAAGCAGGGTACAAATTAGAAAATCAATAAATGTGCAATCATGGGTGTGTATACATATGCCATCAGCTCTGCTGGAAAAGAACTCTGCCGTTCAGGAGACACGGCAAGCCGGTTCCCTGGGGAGGCAGACTCAGCACGGGCCGTGCCGCCGCCTGGTCTGTAGCAGGCTATGGGCGAGAGCAGCACCGCTGGGCATTGTTCTTGTTACTGTCTTCACATCCAGTGTTTATCCTGAGGATAGTTTTATAAATTCTTGGAGAATTTCATACATGTCTCGATGGGATGTATTGAATCATATTCAGCAACTCTCCCTCTTAACTCCTCCCAGATCCACCCGCTTCTCCCAACTTCGAGTCTTTAATTTTTCAGTAGGCTAACCGTTCCTGTCCCTGCGACCCAATACTTGACAAGCAGCAACTTCAGGGAGAAGGTTTATTCTGACTTACAGTTTAAAGGGACACACTTCATCCTGATGGGGAAGGTGTGGTGACGGGAGCCAGAGGCTGCTGGCCCCATTGCATCCACAGTTCCAGAGTCGACAGCAGACAGGAAAGCAGACTGGGCTGTAGAAATCTCAGTTCCTACCCCACCCCCCCATGACTCACTCCCTCTAGAGAAGCTCCGCCTCCTGAAGGCTCCACAACTTTCTGAAACGGCATTTCCAGTTGAGACTAAGTGTGTAAAAATCTGTGCCTGTGGAGGACATTTCACATTCAGACCACAACATGTGTCTTCTGGAAAGGCTGTGGTGGTAGACGACTGTGTTTGAAGTGCAGATGAAAAAGAGAAGCCTTAGCTATTGATGGCCTGTGCTCTATTAATAATACCTCTGACTAATGAGAACCAGAAGTGAGGCTAGAGTCCATTGAACCCAGAGGAAATCTATCAGCCCCCCGTACCTGAGGAGTCCAGTGGTGGTAAAGGCTCCGGGAACAACTGGAGGCAGGGCCTAGGAGATACCAGGAGGGTTTCATGTTGCATCCTTGGAACAGTGGATGCAATGGAAGTCAAAGCAGAAAACTCACAGTATGCTAATTTTGCAGCCCCAGGGAACCCTGTGAACAGTCTGGTGGAGAAGGACCAAGGGCAGCTGGGAGCTTGCTCACAGGGACTGTCTAAGCAGATGCTCACTGCTAATGTGACAGTGTCCTCTGATCAAACCAAGTGTGGTCACATGTTCATCCCACTATTGTTTGGACAATAGGCTCCCCACAGAAAGTGATTGTATGCGAAGACACAGTAAGGAATGCCCGTCATTCACAATAGATGTCAACAAGTTTATTGCGCATCTCCTCCACACAGTGTTTTCAATGAGTGTTTCAGATCCTTGCAGTAACGCTTTAAGATAATAACACCAGGAAGCACTGAGTGCCAGGTGCTGTTCTGAGCACTTTGCATCTGTGAAATCATTTGGTTGTCCTGGCAACCCTGTAGGGTAGGTGTTGGGATTCCTACTGTGGTTAGTGTTGTTCTGTGAGAGTGAAACAGAGGCTCAAAGGTCTTGATGAGCTTGCCTGACGTCAGTCTGGCAGAATCCAGATCTAACTCTGGATAACTCCAAATCAGAGAATGATTTTCTCCATCTCAGTGAGTGTGTTCCTAAATTCGCCACTATTCCCATTTCATGGGAAAGTAAAGCTCGGTGAGGTCAAATTACTCCTCCGTAAATCCCATAGATCTGAGGGGTAACCCCTCCTGAGAGCTTGGCTTCGGTGTTCGGCTTCAATCTTCACACCAGTATTACCCACAAACCAACATCAAATCTACTTCTAAAGCCCAGGAAGTGGAAAGTATGCTAGCTTTCCATCCCTGTAGCAACAGACTGACATCATTAACTTATAAGGAGAAGGGCTCTTTAAGCTCGGCTTTGGAGGTTCTAATCCATGACAGAGTGGCCTGGTCATTTTGGACCTGTGACAGGTCAGTGAGCCATGTGTGGAGCATATGGAAGAGCACAACCTCATAGTGAGGAGTCAAAAGAGACGGAGGGAGGGCAGTGGAATGGGGTCTGCGCTGGACGATTTTTATGTCAACTCAAGCTAGAGTCATTTAAAAGGAGGGAACCTCAATGAAGAAAAAATGTCTCCAAAGATCCGGCTGTACGGCATTTTCCTTAATTAGTAACTGATGGTGGGGGTGGAGGGCAGCCCATTGTGGGTGGTGCCAGCCCTGGGCTGGTGGTCCTGGGTTCTGTAAGAAATCAGGCTGAGCAAGCCAGGGGGAGCAAGCCTGTAAGCAGCTCCCC